GTCCTGATGTTGCAGACTGGCTCACTCACCCGTCACTTCCCAATAGACCGAAGTTCCTGTCCTTCAGACGTCCAATGGGCGATGGTAGATTAATGGTGGTGGATGTTTGTGAGTAGTGTGAAGTTCGAAGAAAGTAGAAGCCACGATTAAAATTCACGCACAATAATATGCCTCGACGGGGAGTCGAACCCCGGTCCACGAATTTCCGGTCCGTTGCTCTACCACCTGAGCTACCGAGGGCTGACGATTAGGTGCGCAAATTTTAACACATGTCTTCTGCTTGGTGCGCGACGTGTTGCCAATAAGCTCACAGTACCTGTCCTGATGTTGCATATGTTGTATATATATATATATATATATATATATATATATATATATATATATATATATATATATATATATGGTTGGCGGCATCCGGTTTCGGATTTGCCTGTCACTGTGACTAGCCACCGGACGCCTGCGTTGGACCAGTGAAACCACATTGGTTCGACAAAGTGTATGGTTAATTAGTTCGACGGCGACGCATATTTTGAATAAATTCCTCGTATCTGGCCCTATCAATGATTATGAGGCCTACAAGAGTCAGCGGAATCTATGCAACAGCGCAAAAGCGTCAACATTTCGAAAACGAGCTCGCAACCTCAGCGAAGTCGACCCCCAAGAAGATTTTTGCTTACCTAAAGCGACACTTGAGGCCCGCAGGTGACCTAGCGGTGCTAGAGGACTCGAGTGGGCAGGCTCTGACTTCCAACACTGAACGTGTGTCCGCAATGACGGCGCACTTCGCTTCCGTATTTACAGGTGGGCATGCGCGTTGGCCTAATTCGACGTGTGAAGCTCTTACGGAACTCGAGTGCCTGGAGTGCGATGTGGAAGATGTTCGCACGAAGCCTACCGGACCCGACGACCTACATCCGCTAATTCTAAAGTCCCTATCGGCCATCATCTCGCCTGCTGTGACAGATCTGTTCAACAGATCATTGTCTGAAGGTGCATTGCCGAGCGACTGGAAATGCTCGGTAGCAAAGCCGATCCGGAGGGCGGTGACGCAACTAAAGTGGACAATTATCGGCCGATTTGTCTGACCTCTATTTTGGCGAAAGTGCTCGAGAAGATTGTGAAAAAGGGTTTTCTACAGTTATTATAGTCGAAAGACATTCTAGCGCCCGCACAGCACGGTTTCATGAAGGGCCGCTCTTACCAAGCTATTGTTGACGCGACACGGATGGTTGCAGATGTTGAACCGGGGGAAATTAGTAGATTTCAGTAAAGCTTTCGATAAAGTGAACCATGAGGTCCTGCCCCACAAGCTGAGGATGTGTGGTGTTGGTGCCACACTACACCAGTGGATCAGTGATTTCCTCGTTGGGAGAAAATGGTGGGTACAGGTAGATGACCGCCTAACGGAATGGTACCTCTCCACTAGCGGTGTACCCCAAGACACAGTACTGGGGCCCATATTGTTCCTGATTCACATAAACGAGGTAGCTCAGCTTCTTCGGTCGCCCTGTGCATTGTTTGCAGATGACCTGAAGATTTTGAAGATTATTGATTCTCCCGACGACTGTGACGTCCTTCAGCAGGACCTCGACCGCCTGTCCCTGTAGTCTGCAGAAGCAGACTTCCCGGTCAACACGGTCAAGTCATCATTTATGAGTCTGGAGAGGGGTGGTAATAGGCGCGAATACACCCAGACCGGCCACCCGCTGCATCACACCAGTTCTGTAAAGGATTTAGGCGTACTCTCACGCTGTGATTTGAAGTCTGTCGACAACAAGAACAGAGTGTACGTAAACGGACTACGCCTGCTTTGGGCACTTAGACGCAGTTTCTGCACTTGGTCTGAATAGATTGCCATTCGCCTGTTCTCTTCCATAATAAGACCGATGCTTGAGTACGGCTCCCCTGCATATTGTCCAATCACAATAGGTGAGATGCAGAGACTGGAGCGGGATCAGCAGGTAGCTACCCGACTCATCCCCAGTTTACGGGGTATGTCGTACGAGAAATGATGTAGGGGACTAGTAAGTTATACCGTGTCATATCGTCAGCTTCGAGTTGATCTCATAATGACGCACCGGATATTGCACCTGGGCTAGTTCCCTATGTTGAGGCTGCTGTTGCACGTTCGCGTATCAGGCAGCACATGCGGACACAGGTACAAACTGATGGTACCGGATTCGAAGCGTATCGCTCACCCTCTATGCTTCGAATGTCGAGTGGTGAAATGTTGGAAAAAAGCGCCGGAGACAATAGTCGAGGATAAATCTGTGTCGGAATTTAAAAGATTCCTTGATGTACACTTTGCGGATTACGGGTATAGGGAACGTATTGCACCCGGATAAGATGTAGTGCAGATGTAATAGGCTGCCACCAAGCAGGATCAGCGATGTGATTCCGCGCGGGTGCCGGATCTAACTACGGCGGAGCAACACAGATTTTCATATTTTCTCGCTCTCTAATTGCAGTATTCAGTATCTTGAGACGCTCCCGCTGACTGTCCGCGACTGCTTAATCACCCACAAAGCAAACGATGCCTATTCGCAGTTACCACCACAAGGCATTTCCAAATCCGCAAAATGCGGACGAGTAAGATAGCGTACAGCTCCCAATCAAATCGACCCCGTCAAACACGGACGTTCAGTTCTGCTAGTAGGTATTGGCAAACTGGTCCAGATATTTCGACCAGACAAACTACAAGTGTGCTTGGGAAGCATACGTGAAGACCTATTCGCACTGATTATCACTAAGGAACGTCTGTTACTGAAATTTTCCGCAAGGAAATCCCAAGTACTTGGGTACACATGCTGCATCAAGGAAGGCTCTATCATGCTTGCCAGTAACGTGATACCAATCGCTGATTTAGTTGGGGGCTTGGGAATTAGGATTTCAACCCCTACAATTTTTCTGAAGATATACTTTACCAAGTCGCGAAAGCCAGACAACGATCCGGCTACATCACAAGAACTTGCTCTCTACCTGAAACACGGCTTGGGTTATACAAAGTAATCGTGAGAGCTACTCATTCGCAGCCAACTGAGAAACAACGGTAGAACAGCTCTGTAAAACATCCAACGATCGTTTATCAAGCTGTTCATGCGGCGCTGCTCAACCTTGAGTTACTATGATCGTTGGCGTTACCTCCGAATGGATCCCCTTTGGCTGAGACGACTGGAGAACAATTTCCCTCAATTCCACATTGGAAACAAGCGGATTTTCACGGAAAGTACCGCCGTCAAGCTATGGAAAACGGCCATCTACCCAGACGTAATGGGGGCGGTTTGTCACCGATACGACTGTTAACCATAAAATCCGATCGAAATTCTTTTGAGTGAGATATGTCACTCTGTTGAACGGACTACCAAGACGAGTGCTAACCATGCCAAATTCCGAGATTCACTGGAGAATTTCATCACAATTCCGAATGAGTTAAAGACACTTGGCTCACAACAATTGCCAAGAAAATGGACGGAAGCCGGTCCAGACAACATATGAGATACCAGTAGTCAACATACCCTCCCTTTATCATTACGCATGAAAGTAAACATGTGCCCGGGAAACCTACTCTACTTTTGACTGGTAAGGAGTTTCGCTACCAAGCAAATGTTAAACAGGGATACAAATATTCGTATGTTTTTCTTGCGGGTCCGTCAAATATTCCAGCAAAAACGTGCCAGAAACCCCGGTAGAATGGCTGTGGAAAGCGAGGTTCAATTCCTCCCCACAACGCAGCAGCATTAAGCCACTCCGAGACGCGGTCCAACTACCCACCTTTCGACAATGGTCTTTTACAAACTACCATCTCGTCGTGGTAGAAATTTTCCCTAACTTAATGACCCATAGCACTGGCTGTGATTCACCCTTTGTTGGTCGTAAAAGAGCCTTCAGAGGACCGTCTGTCTTTCTTTCCTCTTCGCCTTACTTGGGAGTCGGTCGGGTCACGTGATTTTGTGGGCGTCGTTAGCCGGGCAGCTTTCGCGACTAAGTCACTAGCGCGCGTCTACCGTAACCCCTTCTCGTGTGCTTCCGTTCCGAGGGCTCAAAGTCTATCCGAATACGTGCGGCTAGGATCGTCCTCACGCTCGCTCAATTTCCGTCTCACCAGCGCGTACCCCGGGCTAAGCTAACGCCATCAGGTCAGCGCAAATCCGTTCGATTGGTCAGCGTTCCAGGCCGTTATCGTAGGCGTGCTTCAACCGTGTCAGCGACAATCTTATCGGGCGTTCCCGCAACTATAACAGTTTTGTATTCTGAGTGGTCGGATCGATGACCCGAGGGAAAATTTGTGATCCGAAATGTTATTTTTTGTTTTTATTGTTATTAGTGTCAAACAGCGTAAACAGACAACTTCAGTGTACAAATGATCGCATCTGCTTAGGGACCGTATACCGCTTGTGGGTAAATATAAGAATTTATTTATTTTATGTTATTTTGAAACCGACGACGACTGTCAGTGAAAGGAATTTCCACCGACCACTTGGGGCTTGTAACAAAGTCGCCAATATTGTTCAACGAATTCTGTTTTATATATCAATGGATGTGGGATAATAACCCTAATGTCGTCTCCATGTTCTAAGTTGCGATCAACAACGCAGGCAAGGTTTGTGGGCATGCTTGGATATAGAATATTTTGCAAACTACTACCCACAAACGGCATCTTTGCGTAGGTTGGACTACGCCCTCTATAGTAGGCATCTTCTTTTATCAAGTAATCTAATAATTAATTAATTGGTATATTCATTTATGTATACATCCACCCATCCATCCATTCATCAAGCGATCTTCTATCACGTAATCAAGCGATCAATCGATGAGGCAGTTAGTCAGTGAAACAACTAAACAATCAATCGATCAATCAATTAATCTATTTGTAACTAAAGCAATAATATTGACTAAGTGGCGACATTGTTAAAATGGGTCCCCATGCATGGAAAGGATGCTCGAACATCCAGCAAGTGGAAGAAACCATGAACAAAAACAGTGAACATGATTTAACGTACCAGGAGTGGGCGTCTCCGGCGGTGGAGGTAGATAACGATAACAGTCGGGGACAGATGGCTGTATCATGGAACGAATGCGGTCACAGTATATCGAGTCGGAGAAGTACTGTTCTGTCAAGGTCTTCCAGTCGACTGCCATTGACATGATGCCCTGTAACAGTGCATAGAGGAGAGACGTCCAGTAGCGCGCTCGATAGAGCACGAGGTGAGAAATGTGTGCGACTTAAAATGCTCAGCAACAAGACGAGACAACGAAGTACTCGTCCACTGAAAATGCACATCAAGTGCGACAGGACGCATGATGACAAGAAATATGTGTTGCCCAAGGATCTGCAAAAGTGGATAGTAAAAATAGAAGGGTCCAGAATAAAGTACGGGGCGCGCTGTTGTGTTTGATGAAATGACACGAGGGCCTTAGTTTGAACTTACATCGACGAATACCACTGAGGCCGTTGTCCATGAAAGACAAGGTATGAGGGAAATCGGCTTTGGCCAGACGGCTGCACACAGGCTTGCCATCTGGAAATGAAAGAACAAGAGACGATGGATATAACGAACACAGCAGAATTCCGACAAAATGGAATGAGTGTGAAAGGGTACATGATCCAACTCGTGTCGTGACTATTGGAAATAAATACCAGCGAAACTTGGGCCTAACAATCGTGAACCGGTAGAAGCCATATGTGAAGTTGATACCGGAGGGTTTGAGGTGTCACATGCTCATAAAGAAGGATGATACCGAGGGAGGAGGAATGAAAACAACTCTTTCACGACGAACTGTCAGAGCAGAGTCATTTTACGAACACGTAGACGGCTGTGATGTAATCGTGTTCCAGGACATTTTCATCCTGGAGATATTCAGTACCCGTCTCAGTAACGTTTTAGCCGCATTGGGTGAGCGTATCGAATGATCTCAAGCAAACCAAATCAATGAATATTAATGAGTAGCAGGGGGTTTTCCAATGTTTTTGGAGAAGAATCGTCGCAGATAGGCCTAACCAGATAGTTACCACATATACAGGAAGCGCAAGACAACCGTTGCTTCTCATTGGGACTGGTCAGTGTTGCATACCCGCCGAAGTCTACCGGATTCGGACACATGATCTTACTCTGGAGGGTCAAACATCTACACCACTGAGTCCTGGATGGTGGGCCGTCACAATTGATATCTAATTGCGAAATAGCTCGTAGCTCTGGGGGCCAGCTGTGTCCTCCGACAGTTCACAACATGCATGACAGTAGGGGATGAGCCGCGTTATGTCGCAGTTAGATATCAGTTGTGGTGGCCTGCCGCCATCACCTATGGTTCAATGGCATAATTCACTGACGCGTCAAAGTAAGACCACGGGTTTGAGTCCGGTAGGTGTGCACTACCGACGAGTCTCAAAGGGATGAAACAGCTGTATAGCGCTTTTCTGGATTTGTGTTGGATGCCTGGCTGAGTCTAGTGGATATTCTTTGAGATGAATAAAAAACAAGTATATACAGACAATACCATGGTTTTAGTGCATTTAGCTGTCTGCCGATTATGCGCCAGTGCTTAAACTGTCCTTTTATTGAGTTGATTAGGTTAAAATCATTGGGTCTCAGAGGCGCCGAGCATGAACTTATCAGTCATGATCATCGCAGAATGGTATAGTATCAAGTGCCAAGGTGTTATGCCGAAGCGGATACTACCGCGTCGTGTAGTGAGACAAATCACCTCGATAGCACAGAGGTTTCTGTCTCATAACAACTCATGATGAACGGCTCCAGGCAACGATGAGCGCGGTTCGCAACTTTCATGAAAAGCGCAATAGGCCCCAAGTTGAAGTAGTTTTTCAAGTGGTGAATGTACACCATTCAAGTAACTCCAATTACACCAACGAAGAACTAATCGAAATGAGGCTCGGTTACAAACATCTGAAATGCATGCGTTAGGAACGGAACAGTGGCGGACCGTATTCGTCCCCGGGGATTTACTAGTATTCATTGGGAACATTGCTCAGTAGCAGTAATAACCTAGAATGGTGATGAAACGTGTGTGGTGCCTCTCTCTGACCGAGTCGAGCTGCGACAACACTTCGCAAAAGCACGAATACTCTCATAACACTCGTAGAAAACCAAAATGCAAATCCTACGTAACACTATAGGGGGTCCTCTTTCAAGTGCCCTTTTTATGCATTTTGAGCAGTGATCTAGCTTATCCAACGGCTGTATGATCGTGAGGACCCAGTGTAGCAATGAAGTAGCACTGCCGTAGCCGGTTATGATAATGATGAACGTAAAAGTAGTATACATTTAAATTTATTGTACAAGTCAAGTTATCTCCACTTAGATACTCAGCACCATTACTGCGACTTATTTCCACCTAAGAACTTGGCAGCGTGTGCCCCAGATATTCACAGTTACAGACAGCAAACGATATTGTGGGCTGGTTTGGCGAGCCACCTTCGTTTGGTGCCAGCTGGATGGTATGGGTTTAACCCGTCCCAGTAAATGATTCGGCGACAGTGCTTCACGAGGCGGTGTTTTCGCTTAGCAAGCGTCCCTACTATGAAAAGTTAAAAATGTTCGTTTCGCAGTACGACGACGATGCGATATGACTTGTCGCTAAATAGGGTTGCTGTGCCACGCTTCACCTCGGTAAAATATAGCAGTTTGAAGACTCACCAAACCAATGGGCGCGATTCGCTGACTTCGCTCCGTAGCCATGCACGTAAGCTATTAAGGCAAAGACTAGGAGTGGTGTCTCCTAAGTTAACGCCCCACTTCGGCTCGGGCAACCCGGTGAAACCACGTTCTATGACGAAACCATGGGTTGCGATGTGCTGCGTTCGATTTTTTTTATTACGATAACTGTACTATCTTTGGATTTCCATGGCTATTTGCAGACTGCTGGCTTGCCGAACACCAACCACGTGGTGTCAGCTGAGTGGTTCGGATTTTTCCCGTTCCAGCAAACGGTTCGGCGGCAATGTTCCAGGAGGTGGTGAGTTTTCAACAGGCAAGGGTTCTCACTATAAAAGCCACAAATGTCCGTTTAACGCAAAACTGCAACATGGCGGAAATGACTCGTCACTGCTCCTGGTGAAGCACGGTATTCCAGCGAAGTGTGGATGAAAATGTGGGGAGGATTGGGACCCTGTTGGCAACCGACCAAATGTAAGATGTAGGAACTGAGCAATCAGTCACCAGCTCCCAAGAAGGGCGCGATTCCATGAACTCGCTCCGCTGTATCGCGGGCAGGCTATTCAGCCAAAGGCTCTAAATGGTGTACCGCAAGTCAACTCGCTACTTTGGCTTGGGCAACAGGGTAGTGCCAAGCCAACTGATGAAATCATGCCGTTATTTGAGTTGTGTTCGGTTTTCTTTTTATGATAACTGTATCTCCCTTTGATTTCCATGGTCTATGACAGCTCCATGTCTGTTTGTAGACCGTTGCATATGTAATGCTACAAAGTGTTTGTAGGCTTAAGCCACGCGTATCCCGTCGGAATATCCAACAGAAAACCAAGTCCGGATCTGAGATAACAGTTTATTTGTACAAATTCATCGTATCAAAATAGACATTACCTAAACAATTTCTAAACGCAAAGTATGTGAACAATTCGCGCTCAGATCTACGAGCGGCCCGTGAGTTAAGGCGTAAGGAAGAACACAATGTAATCAAAGTGAGACACACAAGGCTTAGGGTAAGAATCCAAATAAAACAAGGGTAAAAGGTATGCGTCCGCCAATGAAACGTGCTGCCGCAAGGTCCGGTACACCTAGCTGTACAAGCTGTGAGTCACACAAATCGATCAAAGCAAGGAAAACAGTGCCATATCATTAAGGCAGTACATAGGGGGTTCTTGTGCGTCTGAGTGATAAAAGGTAGGGTGTGTATGAACTGGAAATCGTACACTGTGGCACACAGTAAGGGCGTCATGGTAGGCAGCGTTGGAACAGAAAATGGACAAGCACACAAATGATCCACGCCAAGCGAAGAGGCTGACAATAGTGAGTTTTAAGTGGTCGTAAATTCGTTCTACAGCATATATATATATATATATATATATATATATATATATATGTTTGGCGGCAACCGGTTTCGGATTTGCCTGTAACTGTGGCCAGCCACAGGACACCTGCGTCTACAGAGGGACCATGGGTGACTTGCGATGCACCACCCACAGCTCCATCCACACACCCCATATCCAGTGTAAACCCGAAGGAATAAGACCGGGACCCATGCGGATGGGAGCCACGTTTCATCAACGGAGCCGGCCCACACTCCTTTACAGGCAAACACAAGCACGCTGTAGTTGGGAATCAATCGCACAAAAGGCGGTGGCTGAAACGTAGTCCGCTCCACACTGAGTGCATGGAACCACACTTCGAGCCTAGCACGACCACAAGGGCAGTGCACCCCGTCCCCTCCAGCAACGACCAACTGTCTCCTAGAGCCAGTATGGAGGAAGTGGTGGGTAATAGACAGCTAGGCACCTTGTCAACATGCACCTCAAGAGCAGCCACACTTGGGGTGTCAAATAACAGCCAATCATTCGTAATGCCGATATCAAATAAAAGATATCGAAGAAAGTAAACGTATATGACGACATAAATACTCGCTAAATGAGCATATGAAGGAAAGTGGTTATAAGCGAATCCGCGATAAGTACAAAATGTCCGAAAGTTGTTTAAAAAATACCACGTGAAAGTTATGCAAGTTTACCACCATTAGCATGAGTGACGTGTGCAAGTCAATAGAAGATTATTCAGGTATGCAGAACAAACCAAATGAAGTGGAAGGAAATGTATCCAGCTTAAAAAGAACAAGTTTAAGTGCAAGTTGGTTTAGCCCAACTGCGGTGAAGAAGCATCATGAATGCAACATCAGCCTCAACATGGGGCACATGTACGTGGTATAGACATTAATAAAAGCACGTGCACAAATCAAGCCCCATTGTAATGAAACGGTGTCAAGTGCGCAAAGACGGAATAAAACGTATAAATGAAAAATACTATATTTCCCGAAGCAGTGTGGGACAGCTAGAGTGACTTAATGCCCTTCCGTTACCGATTCAGATAGACGCGTGTAAACTACAGTAGGTAATCTCACATATCCGTTTATTAAAACACTCAACGGCGCACATAAGGAATAGTACCCTATATCGGAGAAAACGAAGACAGTGGTGGGCGAAGGCGACCAGCAAGCGCACTCGCATAACATGAGTGACTCACAGAGCGCCCTGAATGACCGTTTTAGTTGCACCCAAGGACTGCATTGTGTGGGCTGAAGACATTAAAGTTCAAACTCATATGGGACAGGAACAAAAATAGATTCCTATGGCTGTTTCGTCTTGGATGCGTCGTTGATTTACGGATAGAGTTCGGCGGTGTGATTGGCCAGTTGTGGGAGCCAAATCAGTATGCACATATCACGCCATGGTCAACCAAGTAAAATTCACGTGCCATGTACCAGCAATCCCCGCTGAGCCGACCTCGTGTAATAAGAAAAAGAAGAGTGAAATTGCAAGCCAAGTATAAAGTGGGGT